TGGCGTCTCAGGTTTCGAGTGGGTGGTAGATTTGGGTTTCAGGATGCTTTAAGTGTTTTGTAGTACCAGTACAGTTTGGGGATCAATGAATCAAAGGGACATCTGGACACCCCCTGTGAGCTTAACAGTCCAGCCATGTCCAGCCAGCCCAACTTCAGTAGAGACAAATGGTAAACTATTCCCGTAGTACATCTTTAGCAGGATCTCCACTAGGGTTTGGCACGATCAAGAACTTGTTCTATTCAACCCAAGCATGACTGCAATGGTTGACCGATTTCACATACCCAACCAATTAGTGGCGCACAAAAAAAGGTAAAAAAAAGGCTCCGTACGATAAACATCACAAGATGTGTGTGGGGGGGACGAACCTCCCATACAGGTACTGCCGGTCTTCATCTCATGTACGTCCCAACTCTTTGGAGGGATCTCATACAAAGTAATTAAGTAATTTTAAATAGATCCAAAATGATCCAAATAAATCAGTCAAGATCAGTCGTATTGCAATAGGAGACTTATGGAGACTTTGTCAACAGTCAATAACATAAGTCGAAATTTATTGGTCGTGAGAACAGGGTGCCTAGTACATAGAAAGTGGTCTTCCTGGTGGCCTTTCTCTACTACTTAGCTTCTTAAGTGTCCCTTATGTCTTTGCAACTCCGCAGGTTCTCTACTCAAGTGGTTCTCTTCGTGTTTTCTGTGTGTTTTCTTTGTTGTCCTACCCTTGTAATGCTGTACCAGTAAGTGTAGGTTTGCATGCAACCCTTGCACTCTGACCGGGGAACCAACTGTGCACAAGGTCAAGCTGAAAAAAACAAGCTCTTTGCCTTCATTGCGAATTGGAGTCCGCTCTCAATGGAATGTTCAAAACTCAGCAGACCTCAAGTCAATGGCAATACAGCATAGAGTTCTCCATGCAATGGACTGATGACTGCACGTTCAAGACATGTGCCCAGATGGCTCGTATGCCCTCGTTTCATGTTGAGGCCTTTTGTTTGCAGTTTGTCCTTATGGATTTTATGGATCCTTATGGCACGCAGCTTTGCTCCAAAATTCCCACCTGAGGATCGACACCACATTGCCCATTTCTGAGTGCTTGAACCGCTGCTGAGATGGTGCATCTCACGTGCGGTGACTGTTGTAAGCACTTCCCTGATTTTTTGTGGTTGATCCGAGTTGATCCTTTCATGTCCTTTCCAAGTTTCAAAGTCTTGCTGGGCTTCGCTGCTTCTGCCTAGGCAGACCATTTGGGCAATCGTGACATGAACCTCATCCACATGCTGACAAGTGTCGACACACAGGAGCAGAGTGATGCAGAGTGCACACCAGACAGACCAAAGCATCCAAAGCCACGCAGCATGACCTGGTGAGCACCTTTGCTAACTGCAAATCGCATCGAAGCATCCTTGATGTATCCCAAATATTCCCAAACTATTTATCGTTTGATCTAATGGGCACTGGACACTTCAGAAGTATCAACTGACGTTGCCATTCTCATTGTGAACGATGTAGACGATCAAGGATCAACCTGTTAAGAAGCAGCAAGTTAGGTGCAAGTTGCATTCCGACAGGAACAAGAGAAATGCATGGCGCGGGTGAGAAGAAAAATTGCGGAGGCCACAAGTTCTCTGACGTGCGAAGGATCTTGTGAGATTTTGTTTTGGATCTTTTCAAGCGCTTGTAACAGTTTGTATGCTTTCCGCTTTTACACTTTAAATCTTTTGAGTATTTGAGATAGGATGCCGTATTTTGAGTGTCTGTCAGAGGTGCCAAGGTGCTGTCGGAGTCCTGTTGAGTTGAGGGTCTTGTCCATGGTGCTGTCTTATGCATTGTGGTCAGTGCTCCCAGTGCTCCTAGCGATTCTAGTGCTGCTTCTTCTCAAAAGCTTCTAACACAATGCCGTGTAGCGAGAACTGTATAGGTTCCGCCAATATTTTTTAAGCTGCTGCAAAATTCTTGGCTGCAGCCGCCCTGAAACTTTGCCGGCGCTTTTAAAATATCTTAACGGCGGTCTTGGTGCCCGCAACATGTGCAGGGATGTGTAGCATTCATACGTCAATCGAATGGTAGGTTGTAGAGTAATTATTGCATGATATTGCATGCTTGTGGCTCGTAAATTGTTGTGGATGCACTCTTGAAGCCGGTTAAGCCGGTTAAGTGGTTAAGCGCTTGAAATCAGATCTTGCTTCGCAGAACCCGACTATGGACTGGTTCGAGGAGCAGCTCAGACTGGAGGAGGCTGAGAACACTCTGTTTTGAGGGGGGCTTGACACAAAGGAGTCCATTTAAATCCATTTATATGATCATATTTAGACATTTTGTCATACTTGTACTGACTTGTACAGTACTTATATGATTTTAGTTGTTTTTATGTCTTTTCATGAGTTCATTGTGTGTCACACCGAGCACAAACGGAAGGAACGCAATGCCCAGATATGGGCTCCGGATTCTGATGAAGAAGATGAAGAGGAGGCCGTAGAAGGATGTATAAGGGATATATAAGACGCATATGTGTAACTTTACATATAAGAGTTTCATATAAGTATTATAAGAGGCATAAAGTTACTGACGCAGGACTTGCGATATCTTCCGATGAAGTCTACCAGCTTGGCGTTTTTTTTTTGTGTTGGCCCTCGGACCAAAAATAACAACAATGTGTTTTGTTGACACAAGAAGAATACTCTGAGGACGTGTTCTGCCCTTCAGCAACTAACGATCAAAAAAAGCTTTGCAGAACTTATTGATTACTGTTTGCAGCCAAGATAAATATATATTTCGTACGGCAAGAGAAGTGTGCTGTTTGGTCATCGTTGGGAATCAGGCTCTCCTGATTAATGTGTAGGTTGGTGAGAAGGTATCTCACATTGTTCTTTGCATCCTAACATCTTCAGCACGCAGAGAGGAAATAGCCATCCGGCCGTCCGTTTTGAATGCCACCTACATGTCCGTGCTGTGCGTATTTGGCAATTCTACGGCATATTGCATTGTTTGATCACGGTTTCATACATGTGTTGATCGAGTTTAAAAAAAGGTACGTTTTGTGTAAAGTCTTTACTTTCAATTCTTGGCGCGCTCATTTCATTCTAATTGTTTATTTTGCATTGTCTTCTCTGCAATTGTAGATAAGCAGCAAATGTTCTTCACTGTTTCTCTGTCCGCAGTAGCCGGTTCGCTCTGCAAACTTGCTTCGTTGCTCAAGATTGCCAGTTCTTGTACAAGATGAACGGTTTACTATACCAGAAAGTATAGAAATTTAACAATGGAAATCCACGATTATGTCTGGACATGGATTGAAGGTCACTGTGAAAAAGGCAAAGGGTGCTTTCTCTTTCGTTTTTGTTGCCACCTATCTCGTCTCGTTCTTGGCTTCATCCTTTAATTCTGTTTTGGCCAAAACCAACTTGAAACTACCGTACTTAAATTGCTCACTTGAGTCTGCATCTCTGAGTTCCATCAACATCCCTGCGGGCAGCGCAGGAAGCTCTTGAGAATGAGAACCCGGTCGAAGTCAGCCACGCATGAGAGCGCCTATGCCTTGGTGTATGCTACTGTATATACTACATATATATATATACATATATTACTTGGTACCCGACCCTCAGACGACCGTGTGGTTTCAAGGACATCCTTGAGGATCAAAACAACGATGTTCATGTTTCAGGGAGTTAATTGTCATGTTTTGAAAATGTACCAAAGTATTTTATTTTTCATCCCAAGACTCTTCAATGTCACCTTTTCTCGTCACTACGCCCTAGCTGCATCCAGAAGCTTCTCCAACATTTTGTGATTGTGGTAGATTTATATCCCACAGCCAAGCGCAGGTGGAAGAGCAAGTAACGTAACAGCACATCCCGAACGCTACAGTATTGCCTTCCCCACCCCCCAACCCTTCAACCCCCACCAAACGCTCACCCTAAACCGTCCCCCAAACAAAAAAGGGCAAAAAGGTGATTTCGTACCATGGCCATCTAAGGGTCGGGGCGTTACTACTTGCTACCCAATGATACCCAATGCTCCATTTTCTAAGTTGGATATGAACATAATTTGTATGGACATTTGTGATAATTTGTGCTGACATGTTGCTTGCAAAGTGATACTAAATAGGCCACTCGCCTATTAAATCACAAGGATTGGAATGAGAAGAAACGATCGGACATTGATTGCCCTCGACCGTTTTGTTTGCAGAAGGCCAAGGTGCTCTCAGGCATTTGGTTTCAGTAGAGTTTCTTGCTCGCAGGGCGTTTGGCAGTGACTATTCATTCCGTAGCTGCAGCAATACAGGAATACAGCAAGTTGCGTGCTTGTTTGCAAACGAAACAGACAATCAAAAGAAAAACACAGAGGATATTCCAATCACAAACCTGAAGACTTACACGTTCATCCGTCTCTACTTTGCACATCCCTGCAGACAGACGCCGACATTACACAATTTCCATACTATCACATAAAGCCCGGACAGAACGCATAAGCGTGGAGCCGGATGCGTGCATGCATGCAGTGCATGACACTTCATCCTGCAACAAGGAACAGCAGATCTACAGCAAAATCTTACATATTATAATAATGCTTGTATGATATCACAAAACAATCAAAAACAGGCTGCTTGCTGCAATAGGCTGCTCTACAATAAAGTTTGCAATTCCTTTCCATCACATTGCAATGCGTCATATCACCTTCGGTCACATTACATGCATCGCAGACACTACACAGGTTACAGACGAATGAAATAGTCTGTAACAGTGCGTTCATCAAGAAACGTTCCGTTGCATCACAGCGCATTTCCTGGTATCGCCCTACACTGCATGCAATGGATTATCTAATAGTGCAGTACTATCATTGAATGCACCCGTTGCATACACAATCATACACACACACACATCCTCACATCGTATCACATTCCCTTTCACTACAGACTCAGATGCTTGATTTCTTCACATTTGAGACAGCGAGGCAGACAAGCTGACCAACCGACCGACCGACATACAGATACAGATCAAATATTTATATATAGATATTAAGGATATATAGACAATATTATTGATATTATACAATATTATACATATTATAAATGTTATATATACATGTCATACATGTTGTACATGTTATACATGTTATACATATCAAGATATACATAGTACACATACTATACATATGATAGATAATATACATAGTATACAGAGTAATCGCATTAGACACAGTAAACGTACATTAGCAAATCGACAGGCATACTATACATACATGCATGATAATGCATGCATAATTACATTCCCAGGCGTTCGTCGTATTGCATGGTATGGCATGACGTTGCAGTGGAATGAATTGCCTAGCATGGCACTAAAGTATGGTCCCTGCATGATGATTTCCGTACCTTTCTCGTTGTTTTCCTTAATTTGGCAAGTATGTTACAGTATGTTCCTATTGGCTGATGATCCCAGGAAACTGCCCGTTGACAAACAAGATGGCAAGAAACATCGTTAAGATATGCAAACATCACAACCAAAGGGGGTGTATGTAATAACTAATCATGATCATGTATATGAGAGTATGCCTCATGTTTCTGTGTAGAAATACATGCCATATTCCTACCAGTGTGAAAATAGAATCTTCAGATGAAAGGCCCAAATGGCGACTTGTTCCCCGGGGTATGTTTATGTTTAGCATCTCAAACAAGAACATTGGAAGACTTGGAAGTGAAAGTGTTGCCTATTTCACAGAAAAGTGGCCTCACATGAGGGATGTAGATTGCAGACGGTATGCAACTTGCGCAGATCGGGCAGCTGAAGTTTCACCAGACGAGCTCCGTCCAGACTTCCAAGAAGCTGGACAGGAAAACAGCTGACTTGTTGGCAAGGTGACGGTCTCAATTGGCATGTTGAACAGGAAGTGGGAAAGTTAACTCCAGACTGTGATAGTTGTTTCAGCTCAATCGGCACTTTGTTGCTATATATTGCAGGTTTGAGGCCTCTCAGAGTTCTGTTGGGTGCAATGATCTACAGTGGAACTGTTCGATAGGAACCGAATTAGGATTTTTGAGGATACTCTGGGGTTCTTACCTCAATTGAGGATCCATTCGGGGTATTACAGTAAGGCTGAGGGTACAGTGCACCGTCAAGTTCTTACATGCAACTTCTTGTATCTTCTTGTTTCACATCACCCGCACGGTTCATGCAAGATCCCGCAAAATGAACAAATCCGGGGGGCAGCCTGGAGCCAGCACGGAAGGTTTGGGCCTAGATTGCCGCGTTAGGCCTGAATTTGCCGTCCGCTGGCTCCAGGCTGATTCCAGATAAATAGAATTCATGCTATATCGCTATTGTCCCATCAAAGGAAGCTTAGTTCGCAAACTTCCGACTTATGGACAAATGTCACAGATCATCAAAGGGGGGGTCGTGTTTCCGCGGTTGCGGCCCTCGATCCGGAAAAGCTGTCGACAAAATACACACGGGATCACACGGGACTGACTTGAGCGAGAGCTCGATTGGCAAAAAAATGCTGAAAACTCAATTGTTCGGACCACTCTTGGAAGATGAGGCCAGAAAAAAGCGCACGGGACTGTAGAGGGAGCTCGATTGGCCAATAAGCTTCGGTGGTATCTCCAACAGCCGCAACGTTTTATTTTTACAAATCTTTCTGAAGCGTGCTGCGAAGCCAAGCGCTGGAAATACCTCAGCTGGGTCTGCACCAAACCCTCCCAAACCTTCTCCAGACCCTGTTGAACCTGACCTGGCTCTGCACCAAAGCCTCCCAGACCTTCACCGGACCCCTGTTTGACCTGACCTGGGAAATGCTGTTTGTTTGATGGCGCATCTGGGGATTGCGAAGAATGGGATTTTACTGCAATGCCAAGGTTAATTATTTTTAAGTAAGTAATGTGTGCAAATGCCGCACGTGAGGAAACCCCTTTCGTAGATCTTTAATTCTCATCTAATACCGCCGGAAAACTGCGCTGGATGTGTTGTGGGTCTCCTGCTTCGCCTGTGCAGCGTGGGGTGATTCCTCCCAGGGTCTTTAGTTCTTGCTTGGCCCTGTAAACTTGATATGGAAATTTGGCCACTGGAAATTGTTGCTGCTGCTTCTTCAATCGTTCAAAGGGGGCGAAGCCACACTGGCAACCACATGCAGGAACATTCTGCCAAAAGCGTTGTGGAGGAAGTCCAGCTCGTCGTTTCAGGGCTGCAGCTCGAAGTTCATAAACGCATTGCAACGGTGGCGCGAAGAGAAGAATCGAGTTTCATGCGAGGTAGCTCAGGGAAGAAGTATGCCAAATAAGTTGCAGCTACAACGGGTGGCTGATTGGAGAGGTAGCGCAATGAAGGGGTAACTTGGGAAAGATTTGCTTGAGGGAACGGATTGCCCAACCAAGAAGTAGTTCATTCAGTCGTTCGTTTGTTCGTTCAATCAATCAATCAACCAACCAATCAATAAATCAATAAACAAATAAATAAATCAATCAATCAGTTGTACATGCATACACACACATACTCAGTCTTGATCCTTGAATCATTGATTCACGCTTTACTCATTCATTTTTCATTCCTTCAGTCACTCATTCCGTCATTCATTCATATAATGCATTCATTCGTTTATTCAGCCATTGACTCACTGACTTACTCACATCATCATGGATGCGTTCACTCATTCATTCGTTTATCCATTCGTTGACTTGTTGATTCATTCATTTCTTCAATTCTATCATCCATTCATTGAAACATTGTCTCACTCATTCACTCCTTCACTCCTTCATTCCTTCACTCATTGATTCACCCATTCGTTCATTCGTTCATTCGCTCCTTCATGCATTCGCACATTTATTCTTCCATGTCAGTGATTTCATTTGCTTTCATGTCATGTCATTTGCGTGTCAAAAGCCATGTGCTCATTATATAACTTGTGCACCTCGCAGCCTTGACCATACATTGCTTCTGCGTTCCACAGACATACTTTCAGGCCATTGATTCAATTCCTTATAGACATAGCTCTTTTGGAGACTTCCGCCCCGGCACGGCCAGGCACTACTGGTATTTTCACAGAGTTCTGAGCACACTCGCAAATCGAAAGAAAGTCAAAGAATGTTTTTGGAAATTCTAGTATATTGTTGTATATCGTTGGCCTCGTGCTATTGCACTGTTTGTGCCCCAGTGCGTTTGTTTGACAGCGATCGGTGACTGACTCAAGTGCATGTTGAGGTAAATTCCCAGCTACCGCGGGCTACCGTTTTAGCCGTTGGACCAAAATCTTGACGATGCACTGCTTGCTGTGTTTTACGTGAGGTATATTTGCTTCCGCGTGGACCCCCGTCCAAATATCCCTTATATTTTGGAAGGGGTCGACCCTCTTATAAATGGATTATATATAGGCATTTTGTAGTTACAATGAGCCCACTAACCAGGGCATTTTGTAACAGGGCACCTAAAAGGCAAAGTTGTACATTTTGAAGTGTTCATTTTGTAAGAGTTTTGAGGGGCCAACTCATTTTATAAGACCATCGAGTTTGTTTGTTGTTTTGAGGCTTTTTGTAAGCTCAAGATGCTGTTATTGAACATCAAAAACAACAAAAAAACTCAGCAGGGTGTGCAATGACATTTTGTAAGGAGATGTCGTCAAGAGTAGAAGAACCATTTTGTAAGAATATATGCTTTTTAGGCATTGATACAAATTATATATTGTTCAGATCTGTAGGCAAAGAGACATCATGAGAGGAGTTCTGGTAGGCAATGAGGCCAAAGAAGAAAAAATACAAAAAAATAAAACAACATAAAAGGTGGCAAAGAAAAGGAATCCTTACGAACAGGCTGCTTGAAAATCAACGAGTCCGGGAAAAACAGAAACAGGGAACCAGAAGTTGTTGCCTTACAAAATGATGCCCGAAAACGCTATCGCTATCTGAAATCACAAGTTCTTATAAAAAGGTCATCGAGTGGGATACACATTCATATCATGAAGAAAGTTGTCGCCTTACAAAATGATAGGATTTTGAAGTCGAATGTGGGTGCTAAAAACCTATGCTTTTTGTAAGGGCCAAAATTCCCAAAACCGATTCCTTTTATATCCTTTTATAAGGTTTTTCAAAATCCCACTGGTTTATGCTTAGAAGAAGCCGGGTGCAACCCCTCCCCCCTAATCAGAACGGGGATCCGCGTGGGAATTTTTGCAGCATGGTGTTCGAAGGTCTCTTGATTTTTTTCGGCTGCAACCTTGGGGCTTGCGTTGAAGAGAATACAGCTTAGAGCGACCTAGGTTTTCAATCCAAGACTCACCTCCCCCAGGGCATGTTGATGACACCGACCGACCAAAGTAGCACAGTATTTCGAGACTTGGCTCTCTGCATGCCGAACGTGTCAGCCAAAGAGACTCAAAACATGAACCTGTCCCGCAGCTGTTCTCAATTTCAATGCCTGACTTATGTACATCCAGAAGTTATCCAGTGAGCGGCAGCACGGCGCAAAGCGTAGTACAGCGCTCAACATGATACAAGGTCTCAGATGGTTCCATGTTTGCCATCGTTTGGTGTCTGCCTGTCACAGGTTTTTTTCAACTGTTTCATGCTGTGCCGTCATTCCTTTGGACTTGCAATCCAGCATCAGGTTTGCTCCAAGAGCGGTAGACAGGTTGCAGGCTTAGAATTTCAGCTGCATGTGCCATATGAGGACTTCCTTGAATTTGTTCCTTGCTCTTCTCAGCGGTACTGTGCCTTCTTTCTCTGTGATTTTCCCGTCCCGGTGTGGGTATTGCCATTCTTTGCTTTTTCTAGCTGGTGGCAAGGACGGGCAACCTTTGGATAAGGCGGGGATGATCCGTTTTGGACTTTACTGCTCACATGTCACCACTCCACAGCTTGAATGAGATATCCCTGGGCAATACTACTTTGAACATATTTTTCCTCGAGTAATGCTTTCGGGATCAGCATATTGCCAGATTTTGGATAGCCCTGAAGGTGGAGAGAAAGACCCTGCTGTTCCTGTAGCTTGCAAGCGTTGCGCTTCAGGCAAGAAACTTTCCCTCAAGAACTAACAAAAACCACAGCGCTCACAAAAATCATTTTGCAATACGCCAAGAATAGCCCCCTTTGTCATCCTGTGTCCAGGAACACGCAGATCCAGGTCATGAGCACAAAGGCATTCGGCCACAACTTTTTCTGTGAAATCAGCGGGAAGCATTTCCATAGTTTCAATATGTTTCACAATCCGTTTCCCAAAGCAAAGATATAATGCGGAAGCAGTGGAAGCCACAGCAAGATATGGCCTGGCCAATGCGGATTGCTTGATTTGACAGCTTGGGCAACATGATCAGTTGCAAACCCGCCCACACTGAAGGTGCCGGAGCGTGGTAGTTTAGCGTTGAGTGAACCAATCGCATGATGGTGCAGCTTCAGCTTGGAGGGCTCATTTTCGGAAGTCCGCCGCCGCCAAAAAGCAGACAAGATTGAAGTTCACAATTTTTCATATCGCCATAACCTTTTGTCAACCTGGGTCAACTTGGCCCAACTCGGGCCAGGTTGTGCCCTTGGCCAACTTGGGAAGTTGCGCCCAAGCTTGGCCCGTTTGGGAGCAGCTTCAGCCCAACTTGGTCTCAACGCGAAACCAACATGGGGAACATGGCCGGCCCAACGCGAAATGCTGAAAGTATGCGTTTTCATTGGTAATTATATTTATATCCTCTGTTTTCGACGGAGGTTTGCGTTTGGCCATGTTCCCGACATTGGGCCTGTGTTGGGCTCCACTTAGGGCTGCAGTTGCTGCCTCCTCCCCAAGCTGGGCCCAAGTAAGTAGGCCCGCGTTTTGCGCATCCCTGGCTACATCCGGCTACCATACTCGCGATGTGGGCGGTTCCCGTCAAAGAAACACCGGTCATGCCTCGCGCATGTTTTTGCTTGTTTACCACCCCCGCCAGGTGAGAGTGAGGGTCTATAAATCTTAAGTCTTAAGTCTTAAGTATACATCCGGTGCCTCCTGCTCCACTTCCTTCTCATCCTCCTCCTGTTCTTCCTTGCCAAGTCTCCAAGATCATAGCAATAGCACATCATCGCCAGAGCTCGCCAGCTTCCTGGGCCCTGCCGGACCCGAACACTATGCCAGCTTGCAGAGCTTCGGGCCTCGCCAACACTCTGGGCCCCTCCCGACCAAACACTATGCCAGATAAAATGTTAGGTGATGAGAGGTCAAAAGATATGTCAAAATGTAGACGGGATAGAATGACAAATCAACCGTCAGAACAAAATGATAGAATATATGCAGAATGAGTGAGCATTATGTCAAGGAATATGTCAGGTAGAATGCCAGATCAATTTCCAGATGCATTGCACAATAAGATGTCAGATAGCATGTCAGAATATATGTCAAAGTATATGTCAGATAAAATGTCAGGCTGTACAGTATGCCAGATAGAATGCCAGATAAAGGCGGAATAGAATGTCAGTTGGTGGGGATCACTCGAAGAACATGCTTTATTTTGGCCTGGCGCGTCTATTTATCTAGATGCTCATAGGCTTTGGGTGAAAGTGCAAGGTGGTCAAGCTGCTACAGAGTTCGAGCGGCCACGCTGGCTGCTGATACATTTGATGTGTATAGGCCGGCGAGTTCGCAACTTGGGATTTGGATTGCGAACAAGCATTTGAGGCGGCGAGCTGAGAGCATTGAGCACCCAACAGATTCTAAAGGATCGAAATGTCCGGCCATATATAGAAACATTCTCGGCAATCCTTGGGCACTTGCAGCCATTGGCTTCGGGCGTGTTGCCAGCAGCCAGCATTTGAAAGCGGCCTGAGATCAGTTAACGCTGGCAATTGTTGGTTGACAAGGTCGCGCTGCCGCCTCGATGGGAGTTCCGAGACCGGGCCTTTGGTTCGCCTGGCATCTGGAGACCTTTCAATGAGGCCGCATTTCATGTTTTTCGCTTTCATTGCTCCACTTGAATCCAGCTCATGATTTCAATGATTTCCCCCCTCTTCTTGTTTCAAACTAAAGTGTCCAGAATCCACGTTGATCTAACTAGTTCGTACATACGCTTGTGTTCCCTACGACGCTTGAACAATCACTAATTATTCTTTTGGCCCAAGACAGTTGCAATGGCAAACCTTGTCTTGAGCGGAGGCTGTAAGTGCTGAGATCAATGCTTTAGTGCGGCGTGGTCAGCGTGTGGACGCCCATCTTGGAGTTTCCATGGTTTGTTTATTTTTTTTGGCGTGTCATCAAGAATCGAAAAGTTTGCGCATTGAGAGTTGCCAATGGAGATCTACTTCCATTGAAATTTTGCTAGTGGCAATTACATCTATATATAGGATGAAAACGCATGAGAAAGCATACAGGCCGTGGAAACGTGTCCATCAATGGAGCAGAGTTTGCTGTGGACCTGCAGGCCATTTTTTTGGATTTCTCCATTTCTTTTGATTTTCTTGTAAATTTTGGGCATCGTGGCATTACTCAATTCCACGCTCCAGACCGCGGGGCCGACCTTCTTCCCATATCTTACAGCAACCGTCCTGTGTCTGCACGGTGTCACACAGCAATCAGTTTCTGATTGTTTTGTATTTGTTTTGTATTTGTTTTGTATTTGTTTCATATTGTTTTTTCAGCAGCTGGCACCTGGGCTAAAGACTGAAGAGCCTGACAGGATATGGTGGCCATGCCAACGGATCAATATGCAGCCCTGCTCTGAGCCCGTAGTTTAACTATGTTTGACTTGCAGGACCAGACAGTTATATAGGTTTATATATATGGTTATATTGTGTATATGTATGTGTATGTTAAATAAGTTGCGCAATTCGAATCACGAAAGCTAGCTTGCCAGCTGGAGTTGGATTTGCTTTAGCAATGAGTTGGGGGCAGACCGGACGCAGCTCCATGATCTTTCATGTCGCACTGGTTTTGGCCCCCCC